CCTCAAAGAAAGATGATCTTCTTTATCATATGAAAGATAATATTCCAAATTCTAATATGACGTCTTTTTTTCACTTTGGAAACAAAGCCATATTCTAATTACAATAAAACATGGGCTGCACGTGATTGACGTCACAATTAAAATTGTAACGTCAGTTGTATTTTGAACAACGCCGGAGGTCGAAATGGACAGTTTTGTTGGTGTTGCTTGCTAGGAAATTGAATACATTTATTCTAAAAGTAAGTTTACGTATATATGTTTATTCTTATATCGGTTCAACTGTTGATTTTCTATAACGTGTTTAGTTCTTCAAATCCAAATAGCTGCCTTTCGAATGTGTACTATAGGTCCGCTTCGAAGAACAAAAGTTCTAAATATTCATATCAGAATCGAAATAATTCTATTATGCCATGCTTTATGCTAATCTTAACATGAGTAGGCATTATATTTGTCAATATTTTACACCTCGCTAACGCTCGGTATACGGATACTGACAAAATAATAAATGAGCATAAAGCATGGCATGAAAGAATTATTTCTGAAGAAGTATCTTTAATACATTATTCAACTATTTGTATATGGTATGCATCTCTGAGTAACTGAGAGTAAAATGTCCAGTAACCTTTGACCCGTCTTTTTAAAACTATATGAGAAGGTGATTAGAATTGAGGAGTGGTCAGTTCCATAACCTGGTAAAATTTTAGTATGTTTTTTAAGTAAAAAAGGGTCTTCTGAACTTACAAACATAATCAAGACGACTTTGTTTTACATGTTAATGGGTGAGGACTGTCATATCTTGACTAGCAGCTATAAATGGAAATGTAAGGTCGAATGACTCAAACTGTACAACAAAAGAGATGATCTCAGTTTTCCAATTTCCAACTGTGGTCTATTAATTTCTATATAGCAACATGCAAAATACATGAAGATACTAAGAGAGTATTTTAACATAATTAAGTGGTAGGATGTGAGTCATGGCACAAGACAAAAAACAAACATTAAAAAGAAAATGAGCCGGAGTCGTGCGGAAGGGAATAAAAAAGAGCGTAACCTGTTACAAGCACAGGAGTAGATACCGTAAAAGCGTATTTTTCAATAAGTAAATCGCCAATTACAATTATACTGCAACGTATGTGACTAGTTCCCGAAAATATATAAGAATCAAAACTTGATGCTTCTTTGGTTGAAGACAATAAATCTTTCTAAACGTTTGAAGAAATTTGTGTGTATGTTCTTTTTTACTCTACAACTATAACTTTCTTATGATTTTGAACTCATTCCGAAAAGTTTTAGTTCTAGATGTTCACAATAAGTAAGAAAAAATTCAGATTAAAAAGTTGATAATAAATGTCATGCTATATAATATGTCTCCTTTTAAAGCGACATCTTTTTGGTGATGTGTTTTTAGTTTATGTATTACTGATGGTAGTAATAGAGTCTGATAAAAAACATTAATATCTATGATTCTAATGATTACGTGATGTTTATGCCATTAATTACATGCATAACCATATGTGAAAAAAAATTCTACTTGAACAGTTTGTGTTATCATAGCTTATAACATCACTTTCGAATAATTTTCATAACTTCAACTGATGATTTGTGTACCTTAATAGGATATGCAAGTGGTTTGGATATAATATTGCATGTATAAAAAGACACTCAAGACTGATCGTGCTTTGAAGCAGTATTGTATGAAATTTAGAAGTTGAATATTTTTTTTATCGTATAATGGTGCTGAAGAGTTATTCTGTTTTCTCTCGAGAGAGCTTTGATTTGTTTCAATCTTTGCTTTACGACATAGAAATATTATACTCATATGAATGTCATTTTAATTCTCTAGAAGGCATATTGTTTAATGAACATCAAAGAAGTTCATGCATTTTTATCAGATCATCGTAAGTCGACAATCTACAACCCAACCCATAACAAATGCGTTAACGTTGAAAAAATACTTATTTTTACGATAAGTGGAATAAGTAAGTACACTTAAGTGAATGCTTTAATATTCGTTAAACCTAAAAAAAAAAAAAACACGGGAAAATTGATCATAAGATAAACAACACAGAGTAAACAGTATTTGTTTTTGTCCCGGCCGATAAAGCTGCTAATAATATTATTATTGTTTGACGTAAATTTTACATTGAGGTTCTGAAAAAAGAAATCACCAATTCACCAACATTCCAACTGACTCCATTTTCAGAAAACGACATCTGTAACAAACATAAACTTTTAGCTACCGCTTTACAAGCAGAACCAAATACAATGAAAGTCCCAACTATGTATTGGCTTCCGAAGCTACACAAAACACCTTACAAATATAGATTCATTTTGTCTTCAAGCCATTGTTCCACTACTAAATTGTCTATTCTTCTTACCAGTACACTTGGTACAATCAAAAACCTGATAATAAATTGTTCAAATAAGGCCTTCGAAAATAGTGGAATTAATTACTTTTGGAGTGTGAAGAACTCGTTGGAAGTACTTGATAAATTACATGCATATATTGGTGATTTTGAATCTGTTCAAAGTTTAGATTTTTCTACCCTATATACCACATTGCCTCACATTCTCATTAAGAAAAAAATCACACACCTAATTAAATGGGCATTTAAAAAGTCAGAATGTGAATATATATGTTCAAACTCTTTTAGGTCATTTTTTAGTAGCAATAAACAAACAAACTATGTCAATTGGACATGCTTTGATACTATATATGCCCCTGAATTTTTACTAGATAACATTTTTGTTCGCTTTGGAGATTCCGTATATCGTCAGGTTATCGGAATTCCAATGGGGACTAACTGTGCACCACTTATTGCGGACCTTTTTTTGTATTGCTATGAGTTACAATTTATGACAAAAATCAGCAAAGACCCATCGAAACAACATCTGATACACAAATTTAATAATACTTTTAGATATTTGGATGATAGTTTGGCTCTCAATAATGACGACTTCAGTATGTATACTAAAGAAATTTATCCTGTTGAACTTACTTTAAATAAAGCTAATACTAACAATGACCACTGCCCTTTCCTCGATCTTGATATCTATATCATTAATGGAAAGCTTAATACTAAAATATATGATAAAAGAGATGATTTTTTCATTTCCTATCGTTAAATATCCATTTTTAGATGGTGACGTTCCCTTGTCACCATCTTACGGTGTTTATATATCTCAACTTGTACGATTCGCTCGTGTATGTAACAATGTTTTAGATTTTAACGAGAGAAATTTATGTATTACTGAAAAATTATTACACCAGGGTTTTCGATATCACAAACTAGTCAAAACATTTACTAAATTTTATCATCGGTATAAGGACATCATTCGTAAATATAGCTCAACATGCAGACTTCTTATACGTTCAGGTATTTCACATCCAATTTTTTATGGAAATATTCTTTATAAAGCACAAAAATGTCAGTATTCACCTCTGAAGCTAACAAAACCTTTAAATAGACTTATTAAGAAGGGATATAGTTACGATACTGTTGTCAGGTCATTAAAGATTGCATATTTTGGCGTTAATATTGATTCACTTATAGGGTCTTTGCATCGGCACTAAACACATTTTTTTTTAAAAACCAGTTGTTGGCAAGACACGGGTTATGTTCTTCTCATATATGTTATGATGGTATGATACTAAACCCCTAACGGGAAGGATTGTGCCTGATATTCATATGATGAAGACATAATCTTTCAATCAGTTTAATTGAAGTCTGGAGCTGGCATGTCAGTTAACTGCTAGTAGTCTGTTGTTATTTATGTATTATTGTCATTTTGTTTATTTTCTTTGGTTACATCTTCTGACATCAGACTCGGACTTCTCTTGAACTGAATTTTAATGTGCGTATTGTTATGCGTTTACTTTTCTACATTGGCTAGAGGTATAGGGGGAGGGTTGAGATCTCATAAACATGTTTAACCCCGCCGCATTTTTGCGCCTGTCCCAAGTCAGGAGCCTCTAGCCTTTGTTAGTCTTGTATTATTTTTAATTTTAGTTTCTTGTGTACAATTTGGAGTTTAGTATGGCGTTCATTATCACTGAACTAGTATATATATTTGTTTAGGGGCCAGCTGAAGGACGCCTCCGGGTGCGGGAATTTCTCGCTGCATTGAAGACCTGTTGGTGACCTTCTGCTGTTGTCTTTTCTATGGTCGGGTTGTTGTCTCTTTGACACATTCCCCATTTCCATTCTCAATTTTAGTGTTTAGAATTGGGAAATCCAATAGTAAATGTCATTTTGTAAAACAGGAAAACGAAACTCGTACACATCGCTTCCAGAGCTATAAAATGAAAAAAAAGTTGCTAAGGAACACATGTGTTATGCCTTTACACTGTATGTTGTGCCCAACAATACCGCAGATATCTCATAAATGGAAGAATTTATCATATTAAGAATAAACGATAAAAATGAAAAAAGATAATTGCAAAACCAACAAAAAATTAAGTACAGTAAAATGGGCGATATGGAAATGTCGGAATTCAATCAAATATTAGTCTAACTATTTTACTTCAGCCAAAATACAGTATAAAAAAAAACAAAAAAACTCCAATGCAAATTAAAAATCGGGGAATTCCATAAAAACTGACAAAATCGACCAACGGAACAAATGGAAAAGAGCTGTCATATACCAAGGGAAGTATACGCAACATGCGCAAGGGATCTTTTGTTTGCAATGCTCTATCGTCCTGGGTTTAACGATTGACTCTTTAAAAAAAACAAGTTTCTTTATATAGTGCATTAGTTACGTTCTTATTCATTACACCAAACATTAACAATCAAACAATGATATTTTAAATTGATAAAATACAACAAAATACACATTACAAACCAATTGATATCATAAGCTATATGGGAACTCTACAACGTAATTGAATCAATGGGTATGTCATTATCTTTACAAAAGAAAAAGTATGCAACTGAAATAAAAGTTATTGCAACACTTATACCAAAAATGAATTATTAAATAAATCATATTGTACTTACCTTCTTTTCATATTTCGAACATTTTTTAAATCCCCCAATAGAAATAATTAGTATTAAATGAAAAACATCGTGTATAGTGCCTATACTAGTCACTGGCCGTCACATTACAGTGTAATGCTAGAAGTACACATTTAAATGTCCTTTATACGTAGAGGTATAGTGAATAAGACTTGTGTATGTCTTTTGTTGTAGCTTATCAATTCATATCATTGTTGATTGTTATTTTTAGTGTTATGGATACGAATGTAACTAATGCACTAAATAAAGGAACGTTTTGTATAAAAGCCATAAGACGGAAAATTGTAAACACAGAGCCCTAGTATAAACTTCCTGAGTTGTACGTTGCATACTAATTTCAGATGGGTTTTAAGAAATGTATTCCATGTCTTAAAACACAAAAACAAAAATTCTTTTGCGTTTCATGTACAAGTGGCGAGAAACATAATTACCAATTCCACGTTTTTTAATAAAGTTGATTCGGTTATTACGTTATAATTTTGTGCTGTTTTTTTTTTCTTCTTTAGGGACATTTTAATTATTTTAAGTCAACCATCATATTGCATTAACTTGAGATGGGGTTATATGGTGCATACTCAGAAGGATGTACGTTTCCAGTCTTGACTCCTCAGATAGTTTCGTTTTATTTTCATCTTAAAGCGTTAATCAATTATATATTATTAAGAAACTAAACCTCAAGCTTCCTCAGTCAATGTTGACTTTAAATGAATTTTGTTACTTTTATATCGCTTTGGTCATGGCGGTCTTCATGTGTTTAGGTTTAATATATCGTTTGTTTTTAAATGTTTAGGTTTAAGCGTTCCTTCTATATGTAAATCCGGGAAAACGTTTAGGGCGCACAAAATTAATTAATACAGTTATATCTTAATTTACTACCACTGGGTCGATACCACTGCTTGTGGATTGTTAGTCCCCGACTGTATCAACTAATATACATAGTAGTAGTGAATGCTTCATTTGTATTTGACAAAATGTTTAACATAAAGTGTATCATGTTGTTTGCATCAATGTAAGACGGATGATATATAGCTCTTTTATTAAATAATAAACAATAAGGTTGATAACAACAAATAAATATATGATGATACAATAACTTAAGTAACAATTATAATCAGGTGCATAGTTCATCAAATATTTAAAAAGTTATGTTTTCTAAAATTTCATTGACATGCTAACCATATTAAAAATTGTTGTATGTTGACAAAATATCGGACCTAATATCTTTTCCTTGATAATTCATGTTGCTGAATTGCTGATTCAACAAAGTTAAGGTTAGGCACAATGAATAATGTCACAGATTAAACCTCTTTACACTATAGCGTATCCAATGTCTTTAACCGTTGTTTTGAATTGTTTGTATAACATAACATTAACTAGTTATTGCATCAATAATAGGCCGTGACAATAATATGTATAGTAAAAATCCATAAATGTAAACTAGTACTCTGTATGCTGTGTTTTATATCATCTTATGTTTATACAGGATGATTGTGTGGGTGGTATGTTGTAGTTTATATTATGTTCATGTCGAACGCTACGGATTTGTTCTTACAGGTTGCACTTTGTAAATACAGCTGTTTCTCAAACCACACCTCTTTTAGGGAGATATTTAATATTCATAGGTATGTTAATTTGTTAACGTACTGGTTCCCATTGATGATCTCTGTATTTTATCTCATAGAGACATCACTTGGGAATGTAACCAGTATTGAAAAAACATGGTAGTGGCTAAATTTTAATTCTTAGGAGGTCCAAAAATGGAGGTAAGGGTAGTATAGAATTTTAGTATAAGTTTAAACTCTTAGAAGTTCAGGGCATATAAATGTTGAAAATATGCCGCACAGCCCTATATTTTGACCTTTGAATAAAATAGTAGTGCATATAAACTTTCCGTTCTGGGATATTATTTTTCACGAAACTTCATAGTAAAAGTATCACAATTTTAGCCGCAAAGGGAGTTCCTATGGGAAATTGCATTGTCAGTATTTACAGAATTGCAACCTATATAGGGTCAAAAAATAGAACATACAGAATTTCACAAAATCTGGTTTATCTCAGAGATTTTAAAGAATTTAACTCAAATATGAAGTTTTATAAATATTTCATGAAGATTGAGAAAATCCTGGGCCTTAACTATGATGACTCAACATAAATTCACAGTTTACAGTATGCATGGTTTACTTAAGGCCCTGAATTCAAAATAAATCCATAATATATGCCTATTTGTAATTTAAATTGTTTAGAATTGCTTATATTTACTCTTCGCAGTAATTGCAACTCATTGATCCTTCCTAAATATTTTTGGTGGGGTGTTTTTGTCCTGTCGATGACCCAAAATTAAGCCGTAACGCCTAAATGTGCTTTTTTGTGACCGCGGCATCAAAAAGAACAAGCTAGAATTACAAAAAGACCTCAATAAAACTTACAATAGTGTGTTCTATCCTAAATATGTAGTAAATATTCCACATTGCTAGAAACAGGGAAAAAATGAGGAAATGTGAGGCCCCAGGGGAAAAAAACAGAGAAAAATGCCTACCCCTGAGTCATTAAACAGATAATTTAACTTGTAAATGCTATGATTTGTTTATTTTAAAGGTCTTTTGTAAAGTAAACAATAACTGTGCCAGGAAGTTATGAAAAATCAGATGTAAGCAGTCATTTCAATCAAACTTTTAGTGAATTTATGCACCAGACTGATATCTTCATAAATGCAACTTTTGCAAATATGGCTTTGTTTAAACACTTCTAGTTCATATATTAACTAACTTCTGTTAGATATATGGTTAGGGATGATACTGTTGTGACAAGAATTCTAAACTGACCATTTGAGGCAGAAATTGTGAACTTTCTTTGACAAATAGGTATACAGTAAGATGTGGACTGGAGAAACAGGCAGGATTGGATACTTTGTATAATCTTGAATGTTGGAATGCTTAACTACTAAACAATACATTAATAGTATTTTAAAATGCTTTCAATTTGTCATCAGAATAGTTTCAAACAGGTTTTGGACAGTTCATGTCTGATAACATGCACATAGGGTAAGCTGGCAATAATTATAGTCTTGTTTTCAAATCTTTAAAAAATTGAAACAGGGGTAGGGGTATAAAATTTACTGTAAAAGGAAACTTAGAGTATATGCAGTGATTTCTTTAAGGCTATAATTCTGATAAAAAAGTATTGTTGTGAGAAAACGTGTTTTTAGAGAGTTTTCTATTTGGATTGTTTGTATAGGTTGCACTTTGTAAATACAGCTGTTTCTCAAACCACGCCTCTTTTGGGGAGATATTTAATATTCATAGGTATGTTAATTTGTTAACGTACTGGTTCCCATTGATGATCTCTGTGTTTCATCTCATAGAGACATCACTTGGGAATGTAACCAGTATTGAAAAACATGGTAGTGGCTAAATTTTAATTCTTAGGAGGTCCAAAAATGGAGGTAAGGGTAGTATAGAATTTTAGTATAAGTTTAAACTCTTAGAAGTTCAGGGCATATAAATGTTGAAAATATGCTGCACAGCCCTATATTTTGACCTTTGAATAAAATAGTAGTGCATATAAACTTTCCGTTCTGGGATATTATTTTTCACGAAACTTCATAGTAAAAGTGTCACAATTTTAGCCGCAGAGGGAGTTCCTATGGGAAATTGTATTGTCAGTATTTACAGAATTGCAACCTACATTGAAATTTGATATTTTTTTAATTTTGAATGTCCTTGATTGTAAACAGTTTTACATACGAATTGGCGTGAGGGATGTATGATAGCTTGTCTACGAAAATGGTTTCGATAAGATGACAAAAACATGGTAGACTTAGGCATTCTTTCATTTTGATTGTCTCTGAAATTACAAAGCATTTAGATATAAAGGATTCTGCAAAAAAAATTCTCTTCGTTTAATGGTGATCAGGTGTCATACAATTCTCCATTGGTGGCACAAAGTTTCCATGAAATTGTGTGGCAATTCGTATTTTCATTCTTTCTCTGAAATTAGTTGGCATCCTTCCAGAAAAAAAGTGATGCAGTAAATATTAATAACCAAATATACCATTTTGGATGAAATACAGATATATGTCAACTCTTTGCTTACAGGGATCTGAAAACACTACATTCTTCTTTCTGTATTAAAGACCCTTCGGGATCCTCTGGTTTAGACGGATTAATACACACCTTCAGAATTTTGCAGGCTGAAATTCATTGGATGATGTAATTATAAACAAAACTGAAAGTAAAACGGAGAGGTGTCAGATCCTTGTAACAAAAGCTTCAACACAGGAGCTGTATTTTTTTCAGATTGCAGTAAATATTATAAAACTCAATATACCATTAACATGCATTTAATTTTTCTATGAACGATTAACAGATTAACAGTTGGCAACCAGATGCCCTAGTTGAATCTAGTATGTCATATTTTGAGAATTGTGTCCTCCTAAACTACATGGTGAAATGCTTTGAAATTTTATCTGCTAAGTGAAAGTAAAAAATAACACTTTAAAAATTGTGCTAGTACGTAGGTATTTTCTTCTTTTGTTCAATAAAATAATTCATTTATCAGGAACATGTAAGCTATTCGGGATCACATGAGCCTCCAGTATACATTGTAAATAATGCAAAACGCATTTAAATGATTACTAGTATACGTAAACCAATAACGTATCAATTCCTTTATTTCTTATTTTTGTATAGCATTTTTTTAATGATAAGCATTTTTTTTAATTCATATAATTATTATTTGGAAGTTAGAGTTTTTCTGTTAATGTTACACTTGATATTTTTTTGTTTTGTTTTATATGTCATTAGTTGTAAGCAATACATTTAAATATTATCCTATAAAATGACTTTTGTTTGAAATATAAGGGAATGGGTCTTTAATTCATCATTTACTCAACTCTTGGTATTGGATTATTCTTTTTGGGGTGTTCGTGCGTTGTATTCAGATAAAATTTTGTGGTTTTCCCTCTGCACCATACGCACATAATAATTCACTTCTAAGCTTATACTGTTTAATCAGCTGCACGAATTATCTGTAAACATTTATCGCTATATCCTCATTTTTTCGTTGATCTATTTGTATGACAATCTTATATCTCACGTTACTATAGTGCTATGAGTTTTTCTCAGTGGATTAGAAAGAGAATGTATGACGTCAGATGTTGACTAAGATAATAACGACGGTTGATTTTTTATGA